TTACTCAATTTTACCCTGAGCCAGGTTTATGGACAAAGATAATTTGCTACATATTCATAGACACTGTGTTGTCTTCTATAACAAAAATCTACTTTAAACAATCTGATCAACTCCAATCATCCTAAGTAACTTGCCCACTGTCCTGGTTGCTTAACTATACTATACTAAGCTCAGTTTCTCTGTAAGATGTGTGAATTCTGAGGAACTGCCTTGGAAATAATTGTATTATCTTGGAACACATTGTTTTCCCATGTTTCAAAAGTTACTGCGTTTGCTTCATGTGTGCCATGTCTTCTGTTGAAGCCAAGGAAGATAAATTTCTATCCACTGAATGATAATGTAGTCCATTTACAGCTGTGTATCCACACCCAACTCGGCCTGTCAACAAGTTTTAAATGGGTAGCAAGGATTATAAGCTTTTATCCTTATATCCTTTCCATTTCTGCACCCACACACTTGTAGTGCATTGTATCTTACTTCTTTGTCTATTACTTATTTTTCCTTCTCATTCCTACATGCAGCCTTGACAAAACCACACTTTCACTCAGTGAAGATTATTGCATTACATTATTACATATCACATCTACATTTTTGTATTTCACTTCATTTTTAGCTCGGTTCCACTCCCCAAGATAGACCCATTTGTAGAGTAAATAGACTTTCTGGGGAAAGCAAAACACTTAAATTGCTCTATAGAGCAACTATCACAGTCAGTTTTTAAAGTCAAATTCTAGTGTCATCTATATCTAGTCCATCATGACTCAGAAAGGAGACTGCTTACCTCAGGTAATAAGAAGTTTGGTTCCACTTCCCCATACGGAAGCTAGAACTAACACTGCGTGATGGTGTTAGTAGGTCTATGTTAGGTCTATGTAGAATATGTAGGTCTAGTTAGGTCTATGTAGATTTAGTTAGGTCCATGTAGAATGTGCTGGTGGGTCTTGGAAGACAAGGATCAGGAAAGAGGTACAGGACAATACTGCCAGCCATGTATTTACCTCTGAGAGAAGCTGCTTATACCAATAAACATTTCCCCAGATTCTCTTTAACCTCTAATTGCCAATTATCTTTTCCCATATTCAAATTTAGGGGAATAACTATGTACAACTACAGTCACCTCAGATGTCAGAGATGGGAAGAAGCTACTCCTTAAAATGAGTTATCAGGGAACATTCGATGTAGCTTGCTTTGGTATATCCAAAGCGTGATCCCTGCACTTCTCATTGCATAATGTTTCCCAGCATGAGACTCTTCCCACTGAACATTTTTTCTTTAATTTCTCATTGTCCTTTGTGATTAGTTTCTCATCGTTTCCTTTAATCCTGAGGAGCATTCAGTGGGTTTAGTACAGTTTTTATGTAGATATTAACCACAGCTGAGGCAATAAAACCACAGCTAAAACACCCAGGAGCTCTACCAGGTCACTGAACACCAGAAGAGTATTAAGATGAATTATGAAAATATCTCATTATAAGCAAGTTGTTTGTTTTTGTTTTGCTTTAGTTTTTGTTTTAGTAAATAAACA